ACACACACACACACACACACACACACAGTTCGTTAGTTGCGTACAACATTACATACAACGGATACGACTACGAATAATAAATGACGGCGGTGATGGAGCAGCGTAAACGCGACGACACGAACGACGAGACAGAAGAGACAGAAGGTAGAATAAGAATAAGAGAGTAGAAAAGACGAAAATAATGACTTACTGTGCGCAGCAAAGGTCATGATGACGTCGCTCTGGTCGATGGCCCTGAAATCCTGGCCGGTGAGATCGAACTCGCCGGCCGTACGTTGCTGCTCGCCGATCGGCTTCTCGTCTTCGTCCTCGCCGAGAGCGTTCTTGTATATGTCCAAGAGGAATTTGGGCGCCGACCTCTTGACCTGCGGCGGCCTGCCGGCCGTGTTTTTCGGCCGATCGGGTAATCCAAGAAGATTCAATATCTCGTGCTCGACCTCGCGTTTCTCGCGTTGGCTGACCACTCTGTGGACGATCGTCTGGTCGAAACCGTTGTCAACATAGAGGCCGCTCATCCTGTCCGCGGCGGCGGTGCTCGTCAGCCCGGCGAGGATCGTGCCAAGGATCAACAGGGGTGCGAGACGGCGCGGCGACATCTCAGCCGAGCGTCTTTCCGCTCGAGACCGACACGGGCCGGAAAACACCATTCTACCTCCCGTCGCTTCCACCACCACCTCCACCAGCACCACCTTCCCCTACGCCACCGCCTCCCCCTCCTCCTACGTCGGCGTTCACACGACGACGACGTCGTCGTCGTCGTCTTCTTCGTTCCTATCGAGCCACCAACGTGGACGCCAAGCGGGATCGCCGATCGGCGATCGCGTCACGATCCAGATGCCGATCCAGAATCGATCAATCTTGATCGCCCGTCCCGCAATCGCTCTACCCGATGACACCGCGCCAAGATATACTCTCTTGTGTCGTTTAGCCAACTTCCAACTTCCAACCGAGTACCGTCAAACTTTCTTACTTATCTTTCTACCTACTTCTTCCACGGTCCCCGTGTATACCGTTACTTATAATAAACCAGTGTTTCCTTCTTTTCCCTTTCCCGACCACTCGGGGGGGGCCCTATCCGTGTGCTTCGGTAAATTGATTAACGCAACGATATGCTCGACTCGACAACGAAATATTTTCTTCCCGATCTCAAACACACACCGATCGAACTGTTTTCCTTCTCTCGCTGCAAGTGATCCACACACACAGAAGAAGAAGTATCCGCCGTACACGGGAGAGCGTACTTGTCAATCGATCGAACTCGATCCTTCGCTCGAAGCTTCGAGCCGATCGAGGCGATCGGCAAACAGGTAACGTAACAGCACGCACTTGACACGGTCGGTGATGAAGCAATTTAAAGGATAGACGGGGGTCGCATGTTTCGCGAAACGCGCACACGACTGATGTCTTCTCGAGACCGGAGACTCTCGGTGAGCAGCGATGACCACTGCCGCCGCCGACTCCCGCGATGCCAGTGCCAGTCTGTTTGTCTGGCCCGTGCCGTGCCGTGCACCTCCTTGTCGTCGCTGCTCCTCCGCGAGGCCTCACAACCGCCTCCCAGGGCCGTACCACTCCTCCGACAGAGCCACGCCTCGCTTTACCTTCCTCTTTCTTCGCCCTTTGCCTCTGGCTCGCTCGCTTCGCTTCGCCTCACTGTGCGCGCCTCTCGGCTCTCTCGCCTCGACTCACTTCGCCTCGTTCCGACTCACCTCGCCCGCTGCTTTTGCCTTGCCTTGCCTTGCCACGCCGGTAGCCACGCGTATACATACTGATCCTTTCCTCTTTCTCTCCGCTCTCCTCTACATTTCACTCTTCTCGTCTTATCTTCTATCTGTCCTCTTCGATTGACATCGTTGATTACCTAGAAATTAGCAAAATGATCGACTCGTCGATTCACGACGAATAAATTTTTTTTAGCGATTTCTCCTAAATAAATGTATAAACAAAAGCTGTGTATTGTATTCTCCGTTGCATTAGAAACTTTCTCTTGCTCCCTTGCCTTATTCCCATTTTCTCTGTACATGTAAGTTTCATACCCACTTGAGTATCGTCGATATTTAACGAAACTTGGCAAACCACAAACTTCGAGTTACCAGTTCTTAAATATAAAGTTGCGAGATTGCGGAATGCATAAATGTCACTTGTCACTTGTCAACTCGGTGATATTGTCATACAGTAAATCGTGTGAGAAGACTTCAAGACTTTCTTGAACGACAGATTTTTCTTAACCTATCAGAGTATCACGATGCACTTGACAAAGTTAAAGTCGCTTCTCACGAGTACTAAAATCCTTCATTCCCTGAGACTAGCGAGGTGTTTCCAAACGATAAATACAAGAAAATGAGATTTATTTTCTGAACGAACGTTCGAGCAATGTTGCATGAAAATTATTGAAAATTGCCTGTCAAAATTCTAATATAAAAGATGTACATCTTTACATGTAAGAACTGTCAATGTATATCATGTGTATAATGTGATTGTGATTAAATTCAGTTTGCTACCTGTATTTATTTAAGGTTAGTAAATTAAATGTATATTATTTTACATACTTGTATCCTGCCCTAAACAGAAATTTTGGAATATTTATACAGAATACAAATAACATGTAAAATACAATCTGTTTTACTAATCTATGGAACAAATATAAGTATAACCTATATTAACAACAAATTGAATATCACTATTACATATATTTAGTTTCACAATTCTTACAATGCAAATCATCCTTTCACTCTTATATTATATCATTTTCAATTCTCCGTGTTTCAATTTTCTTTTATGCAGCATGCCAAAATTACTTGAATTTTCCTCGTTTTATTCAGAAAGATATACTTGTATCAGTGTATACTTGAATTTAATATCCACATTTAATTAAATATGTATGAGTTGCAATTATACAATCTGTGATACCTTCCATGTAAGTTACAAGTAGAACTCGCAAATGTAATTAGAATTCATGTGCCATAAGAGTTTGCTGATTCTCCTCTCTACTAATTTAATTTTCCATTCAAAGAATTCAGGTTCAAATTGAATATGCAAACGTTTATTCGCTCGAGCATTGATTGGTAATGATCGAGTGAAATTTAGTTCAAATAAATGGAGTCTTATTGACTTCTTCGTTCGATGAAAATTACATACATTTGTCGTTACGATATACCATTTTGAAATTTTAATTATCTACAATGTGAGCAATAAATAAAGTGTTTGAGATGTGAATGTTTTCATCAACTTGATTGAAATCTACGAATCTAGGATCTAGGATCTAGGATCTAGGATCCTAGGATCAAAATCTAGGATCAAAACAGAATTTATAGTTTTTTTCAGCGAAATGAAATATCTAAAAAATTATCCTAATGAACGGCTAATCTACGAGTGGCGAGTATTATCCTGACATCGAGGTTCATTCAACGACTTTATTAATCTTTTAACTAAAACTGAGAAATTAAAGGCAGGAATTAAAGAATATATTTGTCGAACATAGATTCAAAAAAAAAATACACTATAAAATTAAATTGGATTGTAATATATATATTTATGGATTGTATATATATAATTATATATATGTAATAGTAATATAATAGTAATATATATAATATAAAACTACTATAACTGTTATATGTATATATATTACTATTATATATATATAACTATTATAATGTATATATAATATATATATATTACTATTATATATATAACTATTATAATATATATAATATAAATATTATAATCTATATATAATATATATATAGATATATATAACTATTATAATAATATATAATATATATAACTATTATAATATATATTATATATATTATATATATTAAAACTATTATATATATATATAATAGTAATATAATAGTAATATATATAATATAAAATGTAATATAAAATATAATAGATATTATATAAAGTATATAATAGTAATATATGTAATATAAAAGTAATAAGTAGAATACAACACCTGGGAAATAAAATGGACAATTTGTGAAAATGAAACAGAAATGATAAGAAATTTGTTTTTATACCAAATTTTGATTTGAATAGGGAAACATAATGTATTCCATCTGGCATGACGAATAATGCACAAACACAAGTAACGATGCTCGACACTCGATCGTTCTGCAAACGCCATGTTGCGATAATGTTCGATATCCGATGAGAAAGAGAGAGAAGACACATTCCCATAACGGAGATGATAGTGACGAAGAGAGCTGCCAGAAAATGAAGGATAGCCAGTGAAAATCTTCTGCTCACGATTAGATTGTTCTTAGGGTTACTTACCACAATGTTGCGTATTAACACTTATCGCACGCCTAACGCGGCACTCGTGGAATGTTGCATGTAATACCAGATGTTTGCAAGGTTTCGAAGAGGTTCGCGGACGCGTGTCACAATGTAAATATTACGCAATGAAAGGCTGATGTCGTTCGAGCGACTCAGAATTCAATCGAAGTACGTGATTTATGCGCGTTCGTACTCGCGCAAAGTTTCTACAACCATTAATTTGAATTTATCTTCACTAGGGATCGATCGCTTCTGTGATAAAGATTTTGTTTGCTCGTAGGAATGGAAGATTATGATTCAGCGAACGATTCTTAATAAACGTGTTAATAAAGGAAAAAAAGAATAAGTAAAATAAAATTGTAACTAAGAAACGAAAAATATTATTTTTTTAAAAAATTATAAAAGTTGAGCGTCCAATAGGGATTAATAAATATTATTTGATACCTGACGAGAGATAAAATAATTTACATTCTCTTTTTTAATTTCAATACACTTATTAACTGATGTTTTTTTCTTCATTGTTTGTAAGTTTTTAAGCATTTTCTCGCCTGTTTCATCCGAGAGATTTTTAGTGAAAAAGATTCTCTACGATAACAATCATATAATATATATATATATTTATAAAATAAATCTGTAACATATTTGTTTGTTTATTGACTGAATTCTTAGAAGTCGTTCTCTTCGATTATATATTGAACGATATTATAATTGTTTAACGATATTATACGTCAACGTTTTAACGCCCAAAAAAGAAAGAACGCCTTCGTTGCTTTCACTTCTCCTCGAACAGACTCGCAACTTTCGGAAGTGTAACGGAAGTATAATTAAAAAGATAAGATTCTTCGTATTACATATGGGGAAAGAGAGCAGCAACGCTTGTGTTTACATCCACTTTTCCTCACTCGCTTTTACGATGATCGAAATCACATAACATAATCACGAAACGGCCAAAGAAAAATACTCCACTCATACATATATATATATATACATATACATATATATACATATATATACACATATATATACATAAACATATATATACATATATATACACATATATATACATATACATATATATACACACATATATACATATATATACACATATATATGC